AAAATGTACCAGTGGGTTTGTTCACTACTTTGGACTCTATTTCCATACAGGGAAGACCTACTATAGAATGTGTGTGTCCCCAGATTATAAAAGGACTTTAGGTCTGCAACATCTAATATACAGACAGGCGGTCTCTGCCCAGAATCAAAACTTAACATCCTGTGCTGGTATCCTGGAATGTTTATATGAACTTCTGACCTGCCCTGAAAGTACACCGTTCATAAGCTGCTGATGGGCCATAATTACTGTAGAAGACTCTGAACACAACAACTTTCAGGAAAACTCTCTTCAAAGGCAGGCATTCCCCCAACCACAATAACCCCAAAACAGATCTATAGATCTTAATATAAGTGGTTTTCAGCAACACATCTTGAAAAACTGATAAACATGTCGACGGTCTTTAGATCAGAAATATTTAAGAATCCTTTTTAGTAAGTTATCGAAGTTAGAATCCTATTTCACACCACACATTCAGAAATATTGCAGGTGAATTCAAGTGAACTCTAAGACACAAATCAAACCAGGAACTTACTGGAGGAGGATACAGGTGAGTATTATTTGATCGAAGATTAAAAAAGGCCTTTCCAGGGATAAAAGAAAAACAAGAAACCCAAACAGGAAAGATTGATAATTACAACCCTTTTAAAGTTTTGTCTCAAAAAGCACCACATACAGCATTTAAAAAAAAGTAAGGAAAATGCCACAAAGCGACCACTCTTAAAAAGGTTAATATATAAGAAAAGCACTAAAATCCTCAAGGGGAGAGGGGAGAAGAACATAGAATATGAATAGATGAGGGTAGGGTAGGGAGATCCAAGGTGAACTCCGGGGTGTGTGGCAAGAAAATATTAGAACTATTTTTCAACCTGTCCTTTAAAAATCTTTATATGGGGCTATGTTTTATAATTTACATATATTAGGAAAATACTGTGTATATAAATATGCATAAATGGAAAATAAATTTTTCCAGATAGGGGTGGGAGATCAAAACTTTGGATACCATACAAAAGAATACTAATAAATATAAAATGTTTAGCCTTCCACTAAGCAAAGAAATGCAAAGTGGTAAAAAGACACTTTTTCCTAAGAAATTAGTTCAGTTGGTTTTTATTTTTTTATTTTTTTTATTTTTTTTTTTTAATTTTTTTTCAACGTTTATTTATTTTTGGGACAGAGAGAGACAGAGCATGAACGGGCGAGGGGCAGAGAGAGAGGGAGACACAGAATCGGAAACAGGCTCCAGGCTCTGAGCCATCAGCCCAGAGCCCGACGCGGGGCTCGAACTCACGGACCGCAAGACCGTGACCTGGCTGAAGTCGGACGCTTAACCGACTGCGCCACCCAGGCGCCCCAGTTCAGTTGGTTTTTAAATCTTAGTGATTGTTGTTGATCAGGATGTACCTCAAGGCCTGCCAGTGAAAATATAAATGAGCAAAATCTTCCTGAAAAGTGGTTTGGAAAAAAATGTGTCAAAGTTTAAAAGATATTAATACCCTTGGATTAGAGTTGCCAGATTTAGCAAACTGCATAGGACATACTTATTAAGAATTATCCATTGCTTATCTACAATTCAAGTTTAATGGAGTATCTTGTATTGTGTCTGTTTACTTTAGTTCCACCTTTAGGACTCTATCTTAAGGAAATATCTAGAGGTAAAAAATGTTCCTGGACATTCTCTGCAGCAGAGCTATATATTAGTGAAAGATTAAAAATAACCTAAATGTTAATATTAGAGAAATGGCCACATAAATTCAGGCACATCCATACAAAGAACATAATCATTGTAAACTATACAGTGAAGAAAAGAACCCAGAGCTATTTTCTGTACTCTGGGAAGACTGGACTTTCCTGGGGAAGACACTCCAATGAATCTCTTGGTTATGTGATTGTAAGGTCCTGGGCAAGCTGAGAAGGGGCATTTAAAACAAGATGCTAAACTACCCCGCAGCCTGATGCAAGCAAGCGTTCAGGAAACCGTGGAGAAGGCTGTTTGGGAGTTTCCAAGGGGCCCCAGGCACATGGTGACAGGACAGCCCAGGGACAGAAAGAGTCAACAGGGACTTTAGGAGAATTGTGGTAGTGATATCTGACAACCAACATTTGGTTTTAAGTTTTGCTTTCAACGCTGAAACATTCCACGTAGAAGCTCATCATCCCTTACCTACAATTCTGAAACCCCAATAGCTCTGAAAACCAAAAGGTTTGTTTTTAAAAAGATAATGTTGGTGCCATTATTTGGCAGTCTAACTGGAACTGAACTAGCAAAATATTTACAGTCTTTCTTTATCCCACTTCATGTGGACATTCAGGAGTTTCGCTGAAGAAATGTTAATGTGTTCCTGCTCCATATCTGCTAGAGATAGAATAGATTATACAGCAGATATACACCGTCTTACTCTTCTAAAGTTTAATAAGTCCTGACTTCTAAAATGCATCTGGGCCCAAGGGTTTCAGATGGAGGGGCTAAGGACCAGTAACTCTCTTGAGGCATCATAAAGTTCCCCTTAAACATGGCAGCTAGAGTCAGTCAGGCTAGTGGGAACGGAGGGAGAGATGGGGGACCAAACCCGGGGAAAAGTAGGCAAAAGACGGACAGAGGGGATTGGAGAGAAGCCAGGCACAACCTCTAGGGCCAGAAGTTCAGAAACATCCAGAATTCCTGGTGGAACTTAAGGGAGGCAGAGACCCTTCTGCCCTGGGACAGGAGAGAGGAACCAAACTCCCGAAGCCCCCTGCAACTCCTGACTGACCACGGGCTGGAAAGGGTGAGTGGAGGAGTAGGTGTGGCCTTCTGTCCGGTAGTGGCACAAGTCTGAGAGCCCACCAAGGACTATCTTCCTTTGGGGACAACACGAGGCAACCTGCAAAGCTAGATGGTAACAGGCCCACCCACAAGCCATCGCACAGCCTTTCTCACCCTCTTCCAGGCAGCATCTGGCTGTAGTTTCTACTGCTGCCTAAACAAATTACTACAAACCTTGTGGCTTCTACCAAGACAAACATACTGCCTTACATTTCTTGAGGTCGGAAGTCCCAAGTGGGGCTCACTGGGCTAAAGCAAGGTGCTGGTGGGAATGCTTTCCGCGCTGGAGGCTCTAGGGGAGAGGCCACCTTGCCAGCCCCCAGCCCCTACCTGTGTCCCTTGGCTCTTGACACAGCTCCCACCTAGAAAGGTCGGCTCACACCGCTCCCACACAGACTCTTCTGCTGCCTCCTTCCACTTATAAGGACGCCAGTGACTACATTGGGCCCACCTGTACAATCCACACTGCTTGCTCTTTGTTAAACTGTTAAACTGCTGATTAACCACATTAATTCCATCTGCTACCTTCTCCTTTGTCATGGAAGGTAATATGCACCGGTTCTGGCAATTAGCACAAAGATGTCTTTGGGAGGCCACTATTCTTCCCACCACACTGGTGTAGGTATGATACAGGACACCAGGCAGGCAGCCTACGCAATGAAAATCTTGAGTAACACATATGAATATAACGAATTCTTCAGTGTTCAGAGGAAGGCACGCATATGAGACTGTATCGACAATGTGCCCACCGCCACTGTGTGTTTTCACCACCAATAACGGCGGCCACCACCAAAGAGACGAATTCCCCCGCAGAAACGTACCGTCCAGCGAACTGCACATCTACACTTGTATGGATGCAACTTTGAAAGAACCGACTAATTTAGTAGAGGTCTACCCAGAAGCTAGAAAGGAGGGTACACACTTCAGTTTTGCAATTGTTTTTACAGATCCTAAAATAGCCTGGCTATCAAGGAAAGCAGACTGGCAGCACCATGTCCGGGAGGAAGGGGACTGATGACTCCATGACACTGCAGTCACAGAAGTTCCAAATAGGAGACTATCTGGACATAGCAACCACCCCTCCAAATCGGGCACTGCTTCCTTCAGGGCGCACGAGACCGTACCGTATTAAACTTTATTTACTATTTCATGAATTATTTTCCATTCAGTTATGTAAAATGAACTTTTTCCTCCCCTCAAAAAAAAGAAGAAAAAATGTCAGCTAGGACATCTGGGGTGCAACCTGTCTAATGGTAAGTGACTTAGCCTCTGGACAAGGATGTCTCAACTTCCTGCGTTTCCAACATCAACCTCCCGCTCCCAGTAAAGTGGTCCCATTCCTGCCTTCCCCCTTCTGTGCATATTTTCCCATTTTGGATCAGTCTGCAGGACTCCAGCTTTAGAAGACTGCATTTTGGCTTCAGCTTCAGCTTAGGCAATCACATGCTCCCTCAAGCTTCCATGTCCTCCTTTCTGCCCCGGAATGGTTGCAGTTTCCACACCTCTTCAGCAGGCAAGCTCCTCACCTTACCCATTCCCAAATATCATCAGCTCTTAAGGTAGACCAGCTGGTCTCCATGGGGAAGGAAATAGGTAACCAAAGTCATATATTTACAGCTTTGGTTACTCGTCTCCTTCCCTCAGAGACTAGCAAGTGTACAGCCTTGATCCAGAGAGAGCAGAAGGGGAGTTAGGAAACCTGCATCCCACTCGGGACAGAATGCACCAGGGGAAAGAGGTCTGAAGAGCAAGGGCAGCAGTGAAGGAGTGGGTGAGGTGACAAGGTTCTATTGCAAGAAACAAGGAGTGGGGGGCACGACCAAGTATAGAGACCCCAGCTGGGGATTATAACTCGGCATGTTGTACATGTAATCCTGCCTGGAAAAACGCTCATGCTTGCTCTCCTTCGACCCCAGATTTCCCCCTTCTCAGGGAGCATGACGGGAGCACACAGGCAGCCTGACTGTGTGGCTTAAGCTGCTTGCCTGGGCTCTCCTTGCTTAAGCTGCTTGCCTGGGCCTTTCCTGCTGCAAAGGACCACCCAGTGGGGGCTGGCCAAAGCTGGATGGGAAGCAGGAAGAGGCTGCAAAGTGCACAGATGAGGCAATAGTCCCAGGCAGTGTGGCATGCTGTAGGCCTCGTGGTTGTGTGGTTATGTGTCCCAGTGGTTTCCCAAACAGGCCAGGGGCCCACTCACCAAGCTCTCCTTTATATAGGCAGCTGTGGGGCCCGGGATCTGGCTCAGGAGGGCTTCTCTCTCCTGAGGATGCTCCAGCATCTCCAGTGCCAGTCTCAAGTCCTCAACGAGATGGAGCACTGGGAAAGGGTTCGTGTGGGAGGCCGGAGAGGCCAGTGCAGGCTCGCAGCTACTGTCACCGATATCTGCACCTGTTTTAGTGCCTGGAACGAAAGAGAGTCAGGAACTTTGGTAAGAAGGGTGGATGCCATGGGCAAGGAACTGGTAAAGAGCAAAGAGAGAAGAGATAGGGGAAAGAAGATTGGATAAGAAGATCACTAGAAAATCACTTCTGCCTCAGCAGAATCATTCTCAAAGTAAACTCGGCAGTAACCATCTTTGATCCTGGGCACGGCATGGCAGGAAGAGACCGGACTGAGGTGAACAACTTGCCCAAGGAGAATGATGTACAGAAGCTCACACCTCTAGACAACTGGGTGAACACAGCCGGCCCTTCCCAGTGACCTGAAACACACTGGCTAAAACAATGAGCTGCTATTCGTCAGCTTTTAGATCCATCAGTTTAAGTTAATGTGGTAGGGCTGTCTGCACAGATGGCACCAAAAATTCCTCTCCTCCCTGTATATGTATTCCTCTCCTCTCCTCTCCACTCCTCCCAGAGTGATTCCTGACTCTAGCCTGGCCCAGTGACACGCTCTGTGCAATACAATGCCGTAGACTGCCAGTCTCAGCTCTGATGGGGTTTAGTGAATCGGAATCTTTCTGGATTTTCCCACTTGGGGGACCTCAACATCCCCTAACGTACTCACACTTTAAAGCTGCACTAGTTACAGTGAATCCACATCTCATCCTCCCTATTATGGACCATGAAACTCTGACGGCAGGGTCCCTGTCACAGTTGGCTGACTTCCTGCCATCACGGCCCTTGCCCTGCAGATGTCGAAGGGGCATCTGACTACATGCACGCATGCTTGGAGGAACAGCTAAGAGGAAGAGAGCTCAGACTGGGTCAGCTCTTTCTAATTTCAAGTGTCCTAAACAGGGGCTGTTTTTGCCTTTGTAAACCTCACCATTTAAACAAACAAACAAAAAGTCTTCTTTGCATAAACACAGTGGTCTATTTTTCAAACCAAAGACTGGGGTGACACAGTCTGACAAAGGATTTCTGTGCTTTTTTCAGCAATAAAAAACACTTTAGAAAATGTGGTGTCGATAGTGGAATTTCTAGGACATTTGGATTGTTTGTAAGGCCAACAGGATAAAATACTTGGAATGCAGGGCTCTGCTGGAAAATATGGGCAATAGGGCCACCACATCCACAGTTACGGGCAGGCCTGACGTCTAAATCTAGGTCCCTCCACCCCGCTAAGAGCCAGCTTCCTAGTTGCCACGGCAGTTTTTGCAAGGAAAAATCCACACAGAAGGAAACAATTACTATTTGATTGCTGGTTTGCTTTCTGAAAGCACAGGATAGAGGGAATTGTGGGTCACAATCCACAAACAAGTTCATGGCTCTGGGGAGCTGGGAAACTGCGGATTACCCACACTCTAGTGTATGATCAGCAGTTTCTAGGCCCTACAAATCTGATGGAGAGTTGACTATGAAGGGCCACAGCCAACCTCAGGGAAGAAAATGGACCGAGCAGAGGAAGATCCCCCAGTCTCCAATTCACTGAGTAATCCCTGACCATCCCAGACATGCTCCAACACAGATACCTTTATAAACAGAGGATAAGTCAGGCCAGTCAGGCCATGGGTAGGTGAAGAGACCAAGATTTTCATTAACTTTAGGTCACTTTGTGGTCTTGGACAAGTCTCTTCCTTTCTCTGGGCCCCCTCTCTGCCCTAAAGCCTTGGGATTCTTCCCTACCATTCAAGGGGTGTGTGTGTGGGTGTGTGTATCTGTGACTATTTTTGGATGTGGTATATGTATACATAAAAGACTTAAATCCCTGTATTTTTTTTTTTTTTTGCAATTTATATCAACATACAGGCTCACAAAATGGCCCAGAATGGTGAAACTCCTAAGGCCTAGCATTAACAAAGGCAACAATTGTCTAGAAGACTCAATTCCATACTCCACACATTCCCTTCAGATAATTAGCTCCTATGGAAAAATTACAACCACAGGGGGAAACAAATCAGAATAGAACTACAAGCTACAACAAAGAAGAAAATATATGCCTTCATACTTGAGGGTAACAGAGCAATATAAAAGAGACAATAACATAACATATAACACAACATAGAAAAGAGACAAGGTGTTATTCCCCACATTACTTCTCAGAAAAGAGCAATTCACCTTATGCTCAAACCCTAATAAAGCTTCTCTTTGGGGGCACTTACTTTATTTTGAACAACAAAGCACTCTTTGGGGAAGATAGATTAGCACAAAGGTTTTCAATTTTATATGCATAGTGAGTTTTACAAACTATAGATGCCTGGGTCCTACCTCCAGAAGTTCTAATTGGTCTAAGATGTGATTTGGAATAATAAAAAGCTCCTTAGGTGATTTTAATGTGAAGCCTAAGTTGAAACCATCTAAGAAACCTGAAACCTACACAAATCACCACAATGAATACTAAATTTTGATGTTTAGGGAGGTCACTTGGTAATTTTTCATTTAAGGAGGCAAAACTAAAGCTTAATACAGATTTAGTAATTATTAGAGGAAATAAGACCATGTAAAATGCAAGCATAGGATTTTATTGAAAGCCTTTTAATGATCACTTCCAAAAGCAAGTAAGAAGGTATGTGGTAATAATTAGAGTTATTTATAGATGTTTTGGTTCTCCTCTACTTGGGCTCACAGCGGGATTACATGTCTGCCCCTTGTTTACTTATGGCCACATGACTTCCCTTGGCCAATAAACATGAAAGTTTTTAAGGACCAGTACATAATTCCCCGTATCTCTTCCACCTGCTCTGGCCTCTGGTAATGGTAGAGAGTGAATCAGCCCATGTCCAAGAAGGATGATGACATGGACCAGAGCCCTCAGCAGATCTGGAGGAGACTTAAAGTATCAACAAGAAACAAACTTTGCTGTTTCAAGCTACTGATCTTTTAGCCTGTTCGGCTGCAGTAACAATCAGTCCTACTTCACTTGTACAAAGTATGTATGTCACACAGTTCAGAAATATATATGTGAAAGATCAAATTTTTAAAAATGATCTTTTAATGGGTTCAAATGTAAGCAGCCATCAACTTAATGTAGACTGTTATATGTGTAAAATGTTAACCACAAAACAAAAACTGGTAACAGGTATGCTAAAAAATAGAGAAAGCAATTCAAGTATATCAGTAAAAAAAGCCAGCAAACCTTGAAAGAAAAGAGCAAGAAAGGAACACAGAAGAAATATAAAAACATCCATAAAACAAGTAACAAAATGGCAATAAGTACATACCTATCAATAATTATTTTGAATGTAAATGGGCTAACTGCTCCAAACAAATGCCATAAGGTGACAGAATGGATAAAAAACAAAACAAAACAAGACCTATCTATATGCTGCCTATAAGAGACTCATTTCAGACATAAAGACACATGCAGATTGAAAATGAAAGGATACAAAAAGCATTTATCATGCAAATGGAGGTGAAAAGAAAGTCTTAGTAGCAATACTTATATTGGAGAAAATAGACTAAAACAAAGAGTGTAACAAGAGAAAAAGGATACTATATAATCATAAAGGGAATAATCCAACAAGATATAACAGCTATAAATATCGATGCGCTTAACATGGGAGCACCAAAATACATAAAGCATCTAGTAAAAAAACATAAAAGGACTAATTGATAACAATACAATAATAGTAGGGAACTTTAACATCTCACTTACATCAATGGATAAATCATCCAAGCAGAAAATCAACAAGAAAACAGTGGCTTTGAATGACATTTTGGACCAGATGGAGCTAGCAGATATATTCAGAACATCCCATCTTAAAACAGCAGAATGCACATTCTTTTTAAGTGCACATGGAATATTCTCCAGAATAGGTCACGTTTTAGGCCAAAAGACAAGCCTCAACAAATTCAAAAACACTAAAGTCACACAGTGCATCTTTTCCAACCATAACACTATGAAACTAGAAATGAGCCACAAGAAAAAGTCTGAGAAGAACACAAATACATGGAAGTTAAATAACATGCTACTAAACAATTAATGGGTCAACCAGGAAATCAAGAGAAAATAAAATAAGACATAGAGACAAATTAAAATGAAAATACAGTGGTCCAAAATCTTTGGGATATAGTAAAAGCTGTTCTAACAAGGAAGTTTATAGCAATACAGGACACATCAAGACAGAAGAAAAATCCCAAATAAACAACCTAACCTTCACCTAGGGGAGTTAGAAAAAGAACAAAACCCAAAGCCAGTAGAAGGAAGGAAATAATAAGATTAAAGGAGAAATAAACAAAATAGAGACTAAAAAAACAATAGAATAGATCAATGAAACCAGAAGCTGGTTCTTTGAAAAAAATCAACAATACTAATAAACCTTTAGCCAGACTGAGAAAAAAAAAAAAAAAAGAAAAAGAAAAAGAAAAAAATAGATACAGGGCTCAAACAAACAAAATCATAAACGAAAGAGGAAAAATAACAACCAACACAAAAGAAATATAATGGATTATAAGAGCATAGTATGAAAAATTATATGCCAACAAACTGGACAATCTAGAAGAAATGGATAAATTCTTAAGGACATACCACCAAAAACTGAATCAGGAATAAATAGAAAATTTGAACAGATTGATTACCAGCAATGAAATTGAATCAACAGTCAAAGAAACTCCCAACAACAACAAAATTCCCAACAAAGAAAAATTCAGGACCAGACAGCTTCACAAGTAAATTCTAACAAACACTTACAGAAGAATTAATACCTATTCTTAAGCTATTTCAAAAAACAGAAGAGGAAGGAAAACTTCCAAATTCATTCTATGAGACCAGCATTACTCTGATACCAAAACAAGATAAAGACACTACAAAAAAAGAGAACTACAGGCCAATATTTCTGATGAACACAGATGCAAAAATCCTCAATAAAATATTAGCAAACTGAATCCAACAATACATTAAAAAAATCATTCACTAAGACCAAGGGGGATTTATTCCTAGGATACAAAGGTGGTTCAATGTTCACAAATTAAGTAACATGATGCATGGCATCAATAAGAGAAAGGATAAAAACCACACGA